TTCCTGCCCTCCCCTCCGCTCACCTGAGGAGCCGTTTCCAGACCGAGCTCCAGCCGAGAAAGCAGCTTCCCCTGCAGCTTCCTGAATAATGCACAGCTCAGGGAGATCGGGTTCCTCAGCCAGGCTACACATCCTTCCACTGCCGTCCCCCTCTTGGATTCGTTGCCCAACTTCCCCCTGCCCTTACGCAGCCTCCGCTCCTCGTGCCGCAGCCAGACCTCCCCCCTCTGGGCCCTGCCCGGACCCCGGCCATGGCCACAACAGCACCTGCCCAAGTGCTCGCACTCCCGCCGTGCCCTCACCTGCCCGGGTCAGCGGTCTTGTCCGGAGACCCAATCGGTGCGAGCCGATGCTTCCCCGCTGGGCAGCGTAGATCCTCCTGCAGCCCACCCGATGTTCTGAGCTTCGGCTAATGCCTTAACGAGAACCGACAGGCTGGCACCGCCCGCGGCAGGGATACCGGACGAGGCATTAGCCTAATTAGCCTGGGCAGGAGTGTTCCTGCTTCCTCTGCGCCGGGCAGGGGGGATGCATCCAGATCTTGGCCAAGGAGGACCGGAAAGGGCAGGGAGCAAGCGGAGGGGAGAAGCCAAGAAGCTGGACAGGCACCCCCATCAGCGGCACCTGCCCTCATTAAGAAACCCTTGCTGGCTCAGCCCAAACGAACATCCTCTGGCCAAACCTATCAGGAATCCTCTCCCCTCCCGGCCCCCACCCCCAGGGAACCTGACCTTACGCCAAGCGTTGCGAACTTGCGATATGCCTCCAGTTTGCACCGGCCTCAGTGAGCAGGGAGATGCCCTGGAGCACGAGGAACTGGCAGGGGTCCCACAGAGGCCCCTTAAGATAAACTGTGATGAGCTGCTTTGTCTCAACCATCTCAGCATCACCTCAAGCTGTCGGTGAGCCAGCTGGGGGAAAGCGTTGGAAGGAGGTGCAGAGAAATTCCTTCGAGGGGGACGGGGAGAGCCGCAGAGGCGCGCATCAATACTGGTGGTGCCCGACTCACCAGGCCGGGGTGGGGGGGTCCTCCACATTTGCACTCCCAGGAGAATGCCACATGCCTGACAGGCAGGCATCTCCTTAAATGGATGGACAAACCCTCCACCAGCTTCTCAGTCTGGGACTGGCTGATGATTGCAGGAAGAATCCAGAGGATGTGATCTTGGGGAGGTGGGGAGCGATCAGTTTGGGGTTTGGGCAGCCCCCTTCCCACCGCCACGTGTACTTGGCAGCGTGATAGGGAGCAAAAAATAAATAAATCAGGATCCAGGCAATCCACGCTCCGGGCTAAGAAAAATCAAGATTATGAAATTATGCAAACCAAGAGGGAAACTGCGCACGGTGTCTCGTTTCGCATAACTTACACAAAACAGGAAAAGCAGAAGAATAACTTCTTCTTGTTTTGCTAGCCACGGGAAAGGGTGAAGCGCACTGAAGCTCCACCACATGAGCTTTCAAACAGGTGTTGCCCCTCCCACACTGTTAAGTGTCACTTCATAATTTCAAAGGGGAAAAAAACTTGTTTTTCAGAGGACAGATCCACATTCTGCACCTTTTCTGCATTCCCACAAAAATTGCAGCCTACACACAGCCCCACCTCACCCTCGGCTCCTGGACGAAAGGACGGCTTTCTGCATTACCCCAACCATTTCTTCTCACCTGCCCCAGAGAAACAGCTGGGTGAATGCAGGATTTCAGCACTGATGCACAGGGGCTCATGCAGGGACAAGGAGGAGCTTCTATTCTTTTCCCAGGAATGTTCGCCTGGTTGAATCTGAGTCTTCTCAGCCTGTAGAAACTGGTACTTTTCTGCAGGGCCTTTTTTCTAAAACTGTTCCTGCTTCATTATCAGAAGTCTTTTTTGGGGCTGCTGGGGTCAAAACTGCAAATGGGCAGTTGCCAATAGCGTCACAATGGACTGGATGCAAGTGGTATAACATGGTAGAGATGCTGCTTGCTGGAAGAAAAAACTGGCTCCTCTATTTTTGGACTCTCAACAGCTACAACATTTCACATTGCATATGGGGGTTTTTTTTTCCAGACCTAAGGGCACGCCAGGAGCTTCCCTCTCTCTCTTCCTGATACATTACCTCCCCCCCTCCATGTAAGCAAGTGGCTGACATTAACCCCTATGAAAGACTGTGAAGCTTTGCACTGGGGGACCTGTTGTGATAAGAGCTAAGCCAGCATGTGTGCTCATTTTGAAGCTCTCAGGGCCAGGAATCCTGCTGGCCGTGTATATCTGCAAAATGTCTACAGAGAAATATCCTGGGCCTGGTGAGGTCCCCCTGCCGTCTATGCCTACCTGCCCTCCTCCCATCCTCCATAACTTTTGCCATTTTGCTCTAAAGCAGCCTGTCCCAGACACACTCCCCCTTTGTCCCAAGGTGACAAAGCCGAGGACCAGTTGGGGGAAGAGGATGGGGTTGTCTCTAACACTTCACTGCACCTGAAGCTGAAAGGGAACAGGGCAGATTCTTACGACACAAGAGCTTTGAGGGTTTATGCATCGAGATGTGCTGATGAAAATCACAGACATTCAGTTCCCTTTTGGTTGAATGGATCTGTACGCACATCATGAGGAACCTATTATGTCCATTTGTTTTGTTTCGTACCGCTCCCTGACAACCCTACAGCCCCCCAATCCCCACCCCCTTCCTCCTTCCATCTCTTCAAGCTTAAAAAAAAAAGATTTCAAGAATCCAGCTCTAGGAAGCGCCAAATGAGCAAATGGGCAGAGTTTTCAGACCCTTCTGGCAGCGTTACAAACAGGGGGAGAAATTCTTCACTGGCATGCAATCCTCCAGCCCAGAGAGCACTCGTCAACCGCCCCAAATCCAGCTCTAGAAGCCAGATGTCTGCCTGGTTCCCCATCTCAACAGGTGGTTCTGGAGAAGGAAACAGGAAGAAAGGGGAATGAGCACTCACCTTCTGATGGCTGATGGCATGGCTGGCGCTACTGACGTTGCTGGTGCCAGTGATGCGGATGGGGGTGCTTCTCAACCCCACAGTTATCTCTGCAGGATGAGAGAAGGTATACATGTGAGAGCAGGTGGCCAGGAAACTTAGGAAGAGGAAGGCGGGCCTGCTGGCACAGTGGGAGTTTGCTAGGATTTTCAGATTGTGGATTTATTTCCCACCTTGCAGTTCAAACACAAGGCAGCTTTCAAAAACTGAAAACATAGCTGATAATAATAGACAAACCAAAGGAAGAATAAACGCCTGGAATAAAATTTTAAACCATATAATACAAGAAGGACTGACAAAGTTTGTAAGATGAGCTACAGATTAAAATGTATAAGAGAGATTTTTTAAAGGGGGGGACAGAAAGCCAAGCCGTCTCGGAACGGCACCGTATTGAATCTATAAAAGATGAAAACTGGAACACTTTTTGACAAACAGGATTGCTCATCTGTAGAGAAGGCTGCCGATAGCCTCGGGAAAAACATCCTGTTCCTTTAATAGAGGCTTACTGGGATGTTATTTACCTCTATGCCATGAAAACCTTCAGCTGCCCATTTCCAAACATTAAGTATCTATTAAGGGGAACCAACATTTTTCTCCAGGCTTGTTGGCAACCCTACATATAGCCAACTCTAGTCCACAAAAATGCAGTAGCCTTTGTTCTCTCCCTCTCCCTCTCTCTCTCTGTTGAGCAGACTCAAGGCCCTTCCAAACACCTGGTCAGCTGGACAAAATTTTTGCTCTCCACAGACCATTGTCAATACATCTCCCACTCCAAGCCAGAGTGGACTAAAAAGGTAATCAGGTTTTAAAACCTTACAAGTCTGGAGCCCTCCTAGTAGAGCACTCCACCACCACAGTCCACCCACTCAGCCCCCTCATCCTAGCACAAGACTTCGCATCAACAAACACAAGCGGCAAAACACTGCAAGCACTGGTCCCGGATGACCCCCTCCGCCTGAAATACATACAACAAACCCTCTGCAACGGTCCTAGCAGCAGCATCAACAAACACAAGCGGCAAAACACTGCAAGCACTGGTCCCGGATGACCCCCTCCGCCTGAAACACATACAACAAACCCTCTGCAACGGTCCTAGCAGCAGCAGCCCAACCAATATCACCCGGGTGGTGGAAGAGGACAGTATCCTAGTGGTGAACCTACCCCAGCTGGCCAAAAGGGGGCTTCTAAGAACCACATATCCCCTTGAGAATCTGTCCTGCTCCAAAGAGAAAGACTTAAACGGGTTCATTC